CCTTTATCCCTACCTCTTGTCCCCTGTGAACCTCGAGCCTGTGGGCCAACTCGAAGACCCCCCCCCCCCTATCCCTACCGGTCGACCTCCTTCGGCACGCGCAAGCCCCACCCACAACCCCCACGCCATTGTCACCACACCTTGTTGACGAACTGGTGGTTATGGTCCTTGAGGCGGAGGGCCGAGTCGAAGATGCCCAGGCGGCGGAAGATTCCGAAGAAGTTGTAGTAGCAGCCGAAGAACACGTGGAGCCCCATCTCGATGTGGTTGCCGTCCTTGTCCTTCCAGCTCCCCACCTCATGCGGTGGGTTGTGGTGGTGATGACGGCGGTGTGCGGGCGGCGCGAGAGAGGAAAGCGGGGCGTTTTCATTCGACGGCATGCCTCAATCACACGTGCTGCTTGACAGATCCATGTACGAGGCGAAGGAGGACGAGGATGGCCAACGGCAGCGCTAAAATGCGGTCATCTGACTTGCAAAACTCGGGAGACTGTGGTTCATCTAAAACATAGACTTGGACACATCCCCTTTGACGGTGGTTATATCTCGAACGCGTACTCTGTGATTGTAAAGTTTCGAAAATCACCTGCCTACTACGTACTTGTCTTTCGATGATACCATTGCTCCACGGTGTCCCCCGTCATCCCACGAACTCCACCCGAACCACTGCTTCGGTTCCCCCGCAACGCACGGCCAAACTACACTCAAACAATACCCGCAACAAATCTCGTACCGCGAAACTAACACTGCTGTTTCCAACACCACCAAAAGCACGAATGGTATGAAATTCCCGTGTTGCCTGCAGTGCCAGATACTCCTGCGGCCTGCCGGCTCCCTCACCTTGCCACCCATGAACGGCCTAGCCTCGAAGATCTCCACCTCGTGCCCGGCCTCCGCTAAGTCCATGGACGTGATCATGCCGGCAAGCCCGCCCCCGATAACGCCGACCTTGAGCTTCTGGTCCTCCGGCAGCTTGATCTCGGGACCCTTGCGCGCCCTGTTTTTTTCATGTCCAGGGGGGGGGCAGGGGATCAGCACCGAGAGGAACAGAACGGTGGTGTCATCGACATACGAAGTATTTTTTTGTTTTGTTTGCATGAGCACATGAGCACAGGAAGTGCTCTAAATTAGTACAGTGGAGATCCTTACACGTAGCGATGACCCGGGCCCAGAGCAACAACACGCTTGGGTGTGTGTTTCCTCACATGCATGCGCCTTGTCGGGGATCCCGAAGACCTAAAAAAAAAGGGCATCATCTGCCTGGTGATATTACATGCTTCAGTACATTGCATTGTAATGGTGAAAAGAAACGCACAGTTGCACACAGCCCGCCGAGTAGACGGAGCTCTGTGATTATTGTCCCGCGGGTCGATGCGAACTAAAATCACAACAGATTGGGGTCTGTTCAATGGTCAGCCGGATCTAAACGCGGGTGGATGCCAACATTGCAAACAAGAACGAAAACCCAAGCACACACACACACAGTCTGGATGGCTTTTCATTGGTCAGCCAGCCATAAGCGCGGTCGATGATACACACTCAAACAAACACAAATTTGTATGTACCCAGCGCACACACCTGTCGATACGGTTCACGTCAAGCAACCCCTCCTTGTCTGTCCCCTTGATGCGCTCGATACCCATTCCCCCGACTGTCCCTGCCACGCCGGCAACCATTCTGCTGACCACAGCAGTGACGACGAGAGACAGACAGCGAATACACGTGGATCAATCGACCGCGCGCACCAGGCGGTGGAAGCAAGTGAAAGGGATCATTGGCCTTCATGCCATGGATCGGATAACTATCATCATCATCCACGAAAACCCCCAGCCGTGCGCTGACAACTACAGCGTTGACGGAGATCGTCGCAGTCGCCATCCGATGACTCCCGCGGCAATCATAATCATCGCCCCCCATCCTCAACCAAGGTGAGCCTCATAACAAGGTCGTGGCTGTCCCCTACAACCCACCCCTCCTCAGCGTCACTATACCCTCCTCGGCTCCACTATCAATAGAGATTCGGCGCTTTCATCCCCTTTCAGCGGCCAGCCGTATCCCGTATGCCCCCCCCCCGGTGTTTGCCATCGGGGTTGGGTTTTCGTCGCTTGGCAA